GTGGTGGATCCGGACGATTTAACCCGCAGTACTGAAGACGTCAAGGGCAAAGGCAAGGCCGCTCCTACTGATGATGTCCTTATGGGTGAAGACGATCTTGCCGAGGAGCCAGTGGAAGAAGCATCTTCACTGTTCTGGACCATTCCGGATGACCGGCCACATACTGAGCCACCAGCCGATCCTGCTACTACTACACGTATCCAATTTCGCCATCCGTCTGGAAGGGTCATTCGTCGCTTTGCTCTGGTTGATTCTGTCAGAAGGATTTACGAATGGCTCAAAGCTGACCCCCCCTTACCGGAAAAGGCAGGAGTTGAGTTTGAGCTCAATTCAATGGGCCGCAATCTAATCGATTCACTCGATTTGAGCATTGAGCAAGCAGGCCTCAAGAACGGAACGGTCATGATAGGATATCTCGAAGACCTATAGACGCGAGATTGATCCATCACATACCACAGCTCTCATTTTAGAGGCGTTGCGACGGGAATTTGGCATTTGAGCTGGTGATAGAAACAGTGGGCCTTTGTCCATTCTACTACTGGCTACTACGTTGGCATATCACAACATATTATCTCTCCTCCATACTGACTGGATTTGTCCATTCTGCTATGATCATGATCTTATCTGAACACATGTTGCATGACATGTGACTTTGACGACTGCATCTTTAACGCTGATGTCACTATAGATGTGCGACCCATTCTCTTGATAGGAATGAAACTTGATCTTATGATGAATGCGCCCTGCCTTGTAGTCTAAACTGTCTTATCCAGCCTTATCCATTCACCTTTGTATGCTTGTGAGCTGAAATGAGTTCACCGCCTAACTAATCTGTCCAGGACCAGTGCTGAGATAGACCTCACCGCCTGGCAAAATGAACCCCGCGCTGCTCCAATCAACAGACTGTTTCTCTGTTGTTGTTGTCTTGTTGTTGCCGCCAGAGACGCAAGGGTAATCCCACAGTCACTTAACCAGAACTAAGACATCTTCAGAGTCTGGTTTAGCTTCACTGTCCTACGCAATATCCTGAATCTAGGGCTAGTGGGAAGCAAGGATTAAAGGCATTCGACCTGTTTGCCGGTGCCTGTATAGTCCCCTCGAAGCACGCAGCTGGTTGGAATCCGCAGAAGGGACAACGGATCTCATTGAGATTCAGAAGATCCTCGGTGTAGTAATGTGCTCAGGCATGATAGTGACAGACAGGTTACTAACCTCGCTGACAGTAAAATTCCTTTGATTGATATTAACGATTCCGCCGATGGCACGGCTGCTCCCCTCGATTCGCAAATCACGCACCTAGCCTGTTCGAGGCGATTGGTATGTAATTCACTCTCGGTGAATGATGTATCACCCCAGACTTCTTGTGGTGATCGAAGCCCTTGATACGGACGCTTGTTATTCCATTGCGCTCGAACTCATTCGGCAGGCAACTGATTGACACCTGCTTTGTGAACTGGCTGATCGTTGGTCATCTGTTACAGGGTCTCACCAAGAGCTTATATTCTTCTCGTAATCGGCTGCTCATAGTTCTGCAAAAATGGAGGGCATGGTGGATCCTGAGACCATTTACATGAGGCAAAACTGCATTGGTGCGTATCAGTCCCTAGTATATCGGACTTCATTCATCGGGGCCGCTTTGCTAACGTTGATGTTGTCGTAGGTGGTGGGAGCTTTGGACGAGTCTACAAAGGGTATGCTGCCGTGCCCCATTTTCTACCTAATTATCGAATTAGCTGACTATGTTCGTCTTTTTGCAATTAAGGGTCGATAAACGTACCGGCAATTCTGTCGCTATCAAGGTCATTGATGTTGAAAATGCTGAAGACGAAGTCGAAGATATTATCCAAGAAATTGCCATCTTGTCCGAACTCGACTCTCCATATGTTACGAAGTATCATGGCTCTTTCCTCAAAGGTTCTCATCTGTGGATCGTCATGGAATTTTGTTCGGGGGGTAGTTGCAGCGATCTTCTTCGCCCGGGGCCAATTCCGGAGGACTATATCATGATAATCATGCGAGAGTTGCTTCGTGGCCTGGATTATCTGCATACTGATAAGAAATTGCATCGCGACGTCAAAGGTACATTGCGATCTTCATTTGAGACTCAATTGGGAAGCTGACAATTTGGACAGCTGCAAATATCCTTCTCACTTCCAACGGCCAGGTGAAGCTCGCAGATTTTGGTGTTTCTAGCCAGCTCTCGGCAACTATGACAAAAAAGAACACCTTCGTGGGGACCCCTTTCTGGATGGCCCCAGAGGTTATCAAACAGTCGGGGTATGATTATAAAGCTGACATTTGGTCTCTTGGAATCACCGCCATAGAGTTGGCGCAGGGAGAACCACCTTACTCCGACATCCATCCGATGAAGGTCTTGTTCTTGATTCCTAAGAATCCTCCTCCCACGCTTCAGGGACCTTTCAGCAAAACGTTCAAGAACTTTGTTGAGCTCTGTTTGCGGCGCGACCCCAGGGAAAGGCCGTCGGCCAAGGAGTTACTCGAGCACCCATTTGTCAAGCGAGCAAGACGAACGACTTATCTGACGGAGTTGATCGAGCGCTATGAAGGATGGCAGATACGTAATGGCGTTCAAAATGGCGGCGTGGATGAGGACTGCGTACAAGATCTCCCGTCGGATGACAAAGATCGTGAACATGATGAAGACCTCTGGGACTTTGGCACTGTGCGCCCTGTAGGACGCACAACTGCTAGGGACCCGATGAAGGAAGCCGATACAAATACCAGGAACCACAATACCACAGCCTGGAATTTTCAAGACAAGCCACACGAGGGGGTCATGAAATCAAGCCGTCCCCAACCCGACTCCCCAAAGAAAAGGAGCTCATTCATTGCAGCTAGTGCATCTCCCACAAAGGTCCCGCTCCCACCGTCGCCTGTCAAACATCCATTTTCAGAAGTCAGCCCACCTCGAACACCCACACGTTCTCAGAGGCCTGTTGCCCGGCAACCTACGGAGAGTCCTAGCACAAGCGAGTATAACAAGGCCCTACAACAATCTTTAGCGCAGGACTCTGTGTTTCTCCAACTCGATCTCTCACCCAGCAGCTCTTCGGGTCCATCGAAAAACGGACGCGTCGTCCCGACTCCAACTGCCCACGCAACACCCTATCCCTCGCAGGATCCAACTCAAATCTCCCCTTCTCGCACCGAGCTGAAGCCGACTGCATCAGAAGCTCAATCTCAACCTCATACTCATTTACCTTCGCATTCACGTCCTCCACCGACCCCGTCTCATATATTCCCCCATCCGCAACAACAGATAGACACGCCGCGCGACAGGGGCAGTCCCGAAATGTCCGTCCGTCGTTTCGCCCCGAAGAATATCAGCCGCCATATTGAGGAGACTGAGCCAGTTCCAACCAAAGCTCCTGAACCTCAGACGGTTACACCTCTGCTCAATGTCATTGTTCCTGCCCTCAGGACCGCTGTGCGTCGTCGTAGGGAGCAGGTAGATCTGATTTCTCGTCAGGCTATGGCACACAGTGGCGAGAATCCAGACAAACTAGCTGAGATTAAGGGTGCCCGCCAATACGTACAGGTTAAGATCGAAAGCCTCGTGGACGACTTAGTTCACTCATTCACCCGGATAGATAACTGGGACAACGAGTCGCCGGTCGGAATGGGTTCGGGCGTGGTTTCGTTCCTTGAGGGCTTTCTTGAAGAGATTCTCGTCCGCATTGAGGTTCCCACTGACGATGAAAATGATGACGAAGGATATTATCCATCCAAACCAGCAGACTCTGAGGCACGCCATGCTAAGAACGCGTCTAAGACCTAACCACCCTCGTACTCAGCACATTATTCCATCTGCCTTGGTTGATGCATTACTGCCGAAGACGCTCGAGTCGGCATGTTGATTTCGCTTCAATTCTCTTCGCCCACTTACTTGAGCTTTGAGTGTTTCTTGGGCCGGCTCTAAGGTATCCCTCAAGGAGTTGCAGGCCTTCTGCTTGAGGTGTGCGCAAAGTTTGACTTTCTTGTCAAGCCCCTTGTTTCACTATTATGTTGTTTGACTCTACTTTGCGACACGTGCTAATCCATCGGATTGTCTCCTTTAACTTCAAATTTGTCCGTCTCCCTTTCTTGTAGTGTTGGATTCTAGGCTGGTTCCTCCCAATGCATGTCCCAGAGGCCTTTCTGAATCGATTCTCGATGCCTTTGAGTCTGTGTCCGCGGATTCGCGAAGATGGGTGGAGATAAGGCTATTGTGCAAGTGAGAGTGTACAGGAAGGTGACCATGTTAAAACGAATCAGTGACCATGATTAATGAAACAAACCCATTCCGTGCTACTTTTCTTTGGTTTACTACTGCTCCCTGGTAGCTGGCTGGGGAAAATCCTCCTATACAGCGAGACATAGTACCAGCGCTATATCGCACTTCAGGCCCTAGTACATATGAAAGAGTAAAGGGTCCCTGAAGAAGGGATGCGAGGTGGGACTGGCAAAGTTGTGAGCGTGGACATGTGTTCAAAACAATGAACACGTGCTTCTCCTGGGACGAAGCTGATTCTCTTGCATGACCGATCTGCAGCCGGAGCATTATGACTGTGTAGAGCGGAAGCTTTTGGGTCGCAGTCATGGCATCGAACCAATATTCTCGTGTCAGTTCCTGCTGGGGTAGACCGGACATTATGGCTGGCATATACTCCCATGGCCACAACAGGCCAGATTTGACAAGGTACTTGAGTTCACGCACAATTATCTGTAGCTGCCCTGCCTTCGTCTGGCATGATGAAGTTCAAAGCCGAGGTTGTCCCCGTATCCTAGGCACGGCTGCGCACCGCTATTCCTGACACAAATCAGATAGTATCATCTGACTCTGCCAAGTTCAACCCCTTCTAGAAAGGGTGCTAAAGGCTTCATCTCTGTCTGTGGTCGTTGAAGCTACAGAGTGTCGTTGATAAGCCACGTAGTCGAGACACTTCCGTTCAGCACTTCAACAGAAACCGGATCATGAGGACTGACTCTTTGATCAAATTCTACCCGCCAGGTCGAAAAAGCCAGTCAGTCTCAGGGGTCGGAATCAGATAATTAGTGATGTTGAATTCATTGGTACTGCTATGTGTATTGTCAACGGTAGAGTTTGTGGGACCGTTGGGACCATTTCCGGTGAGGCCATGTATTGACATCGGATTGTTGACAGACTCGTTCATATCCAGATTCGTCATGTCTGGAGCTCGTGTGGGAGGAACACGGGGCACATTGAAGAAGCCAAAAACGTCGAGATACTCAAGCTCATTTGGTGCTAGATTTCGTGACGGCATGGGCATTGTTGGCGCTGTTAGTTGGCTACCCGCTGGGGATGAGCGCGGCTGTCGCGAGATGAGGAAGTCCAGATCAAACGCGCAGCGACGCATGTCCGCGAGAATTTTTACACTGGATGGTGTAGATCGATCGCCATCTGTCGCTCCAGATTGCTGATATTCGCCGTACTCGTCAAGAACACGCTGCAAGATGGTACTATAGCGTTCTGCGACCTTCCAGTATTTGCCCATCTGGGCAAGCGCGTCGACGAAGAATATTATGTCGGGGCTCACGGTGTGAGCGATGGTCGAGCCATGTACGAGCAACAGGCGAGCACAGACCCACAGAGTGAAGGCAAAGGGGGGCCCGAATTTATCGAGCATATTGTTGTCCACGACGAAACGGGTCACGGAAAGGATATTATCAACAGCTAGCAAGCAGCGTTGGCTGGCACTATACGATGGTGTAAAGATTGGAGACCTCGTGGTCGGATAGGCGGCGGATGAATGGAGGCGGATCACAGCTCTGGCTCCGGTATTAATACTCAGGATGAGGCAATAGGATGATGAACAAGATTTCTTACGTTTGAAATGTGGAATGAAGTTGCACCCAGTCACAGTGCAGACTTTTGCTGTGCTTCGATCCATTGAACAGTCGCGAGGAGTTCTCATACGCATATTCAGAGGGTAGGTTAAACTCCCAAGAGGTCAGCTCATTGTCCAACTTGCGATACGTTGCTTGCCATCCCTCAACATCGGATAGAGATCCAATATCCACTGGTCTCTTCAAGAAAAGATGTATGCGTGAAAAGATCCCAAGGATCTCCACATACAAACCGAACGAACCAACATTCTCTGCTCGACTCAGATAATCAGGACGTTCACTCGTGTGTTGGAACCATCTCGTCTCTACCGGCTCGTTTTTAGTGAAGTATTCGTCCTTGCATGGTAATTTGCGGTCAATGTCCTTGTCATCCAAAGCAAAGTCGAAGGCCGTAGCAATGGTGGAATATCGATCTAAAAGGTATACCATCCAGAACAGTCTGCGCCTGCTTTCATCCTCAATCCAGGAACTGGGCTCCGGTAGAGTGACGGCTCTTAAGGTGTAGATGGACGGATAAACAGGGGCGATGAGAGACGACTTGGACTCAACAGCTAATCCCAGCTGGACAACCGACCGTGTGATAAGAGCAAGCAATTTCCAGCCCGGCGGACCATTAGACGATCCCACCAGGTCCAGTGCTAATATCACCAACGCCTGGAGTGCTTTCACCGACGAGTTTTCAAGGCCGTACAAGATGACCTTCTGTTTCGAAGAGTCATGGTACCGCTTGCGGTTTTGCTCATTCAGGCGAGGGTCACTCGAGAAGCGCAGAGTCGTCGCGACTATGGCATAGAGAACCATACGGTCGGCTTCTTCGAGAGGAGAAGGTCCGAAGAAAGTGTCCAGAGTTGTCCTCCGGTGAAGAATAGGACACCAGGTATTGATATGTTCGAAGTACAAGTCCACCAGTGCGTACAAGAGGTCATACGGCGGCAGATCGAGTTCTGGATCAGCCAGAGAGTGTTCTTGATTAGAATACAGGTTGACTGGTACCTTCAAGGAAGACTCATTCCCCGTATAGTCGTTATGCGGATTACTGCCCGACATTGAGGAGAGTGGGCCCGCTGAAGAGATGCCATTCGGGACATGGCTCTGCATCGCGTTCCTAACCGAAGTATCTGAAGGGCTTGTGATTGAGACATCATTGTGGCGAGCTGATAAAGGCGCAGTCGATGTCTCTTGGAAATACACTGGGTTACGAGGGCTTGGTCCATGAGCCGCAGAAGGTTCCGACGGAGAACTATACGAATGTGGCCCAGCTTGTGAGAGGTCGTGACTCATACTCATGCGATGCTGGCTTTGAATGATATGAGTCTCGATGAGCCGGGCTTGCGTCTGGATGACCTGCTCCAGCCGATCTGTCCTTATTAGCGACGAGTATAGGTTGAAGAGAGAGAGCTCATGAGCATACCAAGCCGCTGCTCCAATTCTTTTCCGTATCCAGCCCGAAGACCAGGCTTCTTTCGTTCCTTGTACTCGCATAGCTGGCCATTGCGAGCGCACCATCCACAACTTGGTTGGGCCCGGTCTACAACTGTGAGTCACATACCCAAAAGACCAAACCCCGGGGCAGCAGATACTCACCACATTTGACTTTACGCTGTTTGCAGAGTTCGCATCTATAACCCGAGTTGGGATGTGTTAATCACCAGTTGCATAACATTTCTGAAGACGCCATCGATTTGATGAAACTGGAGAAAGAAAGGGAAGTAACATACGACACAGTGAGCGGCCGTTTCCGTTTCAAACTGCGGCCTGCACTTGAATCATTTGGCGCGACGCGATCATTATCACTATCGCCAGCAGACCACGACTCATCAGCACTTTCTTCCTTATTCTGATCGCCTGCAAGCTGTGCTGGTGGTGGTGGAGTCTGCTGAACAGAAGCTATAGCAGGGTTCGGCATTGTGTTCTAGCGAGTTTCGGGGTTATGGAAAGCTTCCATAAGCAAGAGCAGTACTATCAGCAGCAAGAAGGCATGATCATCGGCCGCAATGCAACAAGACGGGGGATGCAGGGTAATGGGTCCAGCCGAAAAAGCAAGTTGATCCGGGTATCAATGATGATCAACGGACAGAGACCGAGACAGACTGCCGATATCGAGAACAGAGAAAGGAGGGAAATGAGGAAAGAATCAAAGGATCCTGCTTGGGGAAGGCCATCGGAACAATCACGAGAGACCAATAAAATCGCCCTCGGCAGTGCCTGAGGCAACACCCTTTCACCCCGCAAAAATAACTAAAATCCCCACAAATAAACATGACCACGAGACCGTGTGACGGCGGTGAGAGCTGGCCTGGATTAATCATAATGGCAGAGGTCAGAGTACCCATAGATTACTTGCACCTAGACTATCTCGGAATAGCAAAGGTACCTTCAATTTCGCACTGAAGCAGAATGGCAATAATAATAAGGCGGCTCCATTGCGAAAGTCAGTGTCTCTCCCTCTTTCCGGCCGATACCTTACCTATGGACCTAGTACGGTAAGGTACACTGGGTAGGTCACTGGCCAATCACTCGTGTTGGTCTCGGGCAAGCAATGCCCCGAGGTAAGCATATGGTCATGACTCCCTCGACGCATTGTCGGGATGGTCGCTTTCAAATATGACCCGATTTCCACTTATCATCATGCTAGATTATTGAGTCCCTAGCTCCTCTCTTCTCTTCTTTTTTTTTTCCCGGTCGCAGCTTGTCCAACTTCACCTCAGCACACCATGACTCTCAAATCGGCCTTCCCCCACATTAAAGAAGTCCGAACTTTCATCATCGATGGAGTTGGATCGGGTGGAGATTATCACAATGTTAGTATACCTTCGAACACTGCCATTTTGCGCACTTCTAGCTTTTCCGATTGGAGAAAGCGCGATACCTGGGGCGAAATGAGTTGGCTAAATGTACCTCCTCATCATGACTTAGGTCAAAGGTGGCCACTGGTTGGTCGACAGTGACATCTCTACTCCCATGACAAAATGGGCGCAGTATCGCGGTTCCCGGACATCGTGGGGTATCAACGTCTTGGGATCTTTCTGCGTTGAAATCGAAGCTACCGATGGTACCAAGGGTTTCGCCACTGGATTCGGTGGCCCTCCAGCCTGCTGGCTGGTGCATCAGCACTTCGAACGTTTCCTGGTCGGCGCTGGTAAGTTACTCTGTTTCCGGCTCAGAACGGCTGTTCAACTAGCAGACAATGGAAGAAGCTGACCTGATGTCTAAACAATAGACCCTCGTGACACAAACGATCTGTTCGAGAGAATGTACCGAGCCTCTATGTTCTACGGTAGAAAGGGTCTTCCGGTCGCCGTTATCTCCGTCATTGATCTGGCCCTCTGGGATCTCTTGGGCAAGATTCGCAACGAGCCGGTTTACAAGCTCATCGGCGGTGCTACCCGTACGCGATTGCACTTCTACTGCACCGGTCCTCAACCTGCAGCAGCCAAGGCAGCCGGTTTTATTGGCGCAAAGGTGGCCCTGCCTCATGGGCCCGATGAGGGTACGGAAGGATTGCTCAAGAACGTAGAGTACCTCCGCAAGCAGCGTGAGAGCGTCGGCTCTGATTTTCCCCTGCGCGTGGACTGCTACATGTCCTTGAATGTTCCATACACCATTGAGCTCGTCAAGCGGTGTGAAGCGGAAGGAATCAATATCGATTGGTGGGAGGAGTGTCTCAGTCCCGATGACTTTGATGGCCATGCCCTTCTCAAGCGGGCCCACCCCACAGTCAAGTTCACTACGGGCGAGCACGAATACTCTCGATATGGTTTCCGGAAACTTGTTGAGGGTCGCAACCTTGACATCCTCCAGCCCGATGTGATGTGGGTCGGTGGCATGACAGAACTGCTCAAGATCTCGGCGATGGCTGCAGCATACGATATCCCTGTTGTGCCTCACGCATCGGGCCCGTACTCGTATCATTTTGTTGTTTCTCAGACCAACTCACCTTTCCAGGAATACCTGGCAAACTCTCCCGACGGAATGACCGTTGAGCCAGTGTTTGGCAACCTCTTCGTGAACGAACCCATCCCAACTCAGGGTTACCTCGATGTTTCAATCCTGGATAAGCCAGGTTTCGGTTTGGAACTGAACCCTGCGGCGCCGCTGATTCCTGCTGCCACTATCCTTACACCGGCCCCTCAGAAGAGCCTCACATTGCCCGTCGAGGACGAAAAGTTGACCAATGGCGCTGCTCACTAGATTGGCTCTTTTGTCTGGATATCCGCTTGGATCTCAGGTTCTTGACGAAGATTCTTCTATTCAACCATTTACTGCATCCTTTTTATTCATGAATTGTATATATGGATTAATCGCATTGATTTACTTGATAGACTGAATGACCGGAATTCTGTCAATTTCTAGTACACTCGGTACTATATCTCAGACTGATTACCCATCTATTTCACAATAAAACCAATAGCCCTATTTTGTTAAAGAGCGACCTATTGTCAAGGAATACTAGGCCACATTAGAAGTCGTGCAGCACCAGTACGGAATACCTCTCTTCTACCTCTCTACTTCCGCACATAGGGACACTTCTTGTTCGAGTCGGCGTTTCCTCCGAGGCTACGCGTATGTATGGAGCAGTGTGGGGAAGTGGGATGGATTGATCGGGGTATCAATAGCACGAAGCCCGAACAAAACCCCACAATTACCGCTATCACTCTCTTATCACCAACCCCTCGGCGGGGTCCCAAGGCCCAGCAGCCCTCATGTGAGGAAAAAGATCACGATCAAACCGAAGATCAACCATTATATCCTTGTGTGCTGCTAGCTGCCCATTAGTTCCTCCTCCAATTGCGTCGTTTGAGTTGTAACTTTGAAGTGTGGTAGGACACACGTCGATCATAAAACAGATCGTGTCGCGATGCCTCTTCCTCAGCTGTTAGTCGGAAAGGTTGCGGCCATTACGGGCGGATTGACGGGTATTGGTAGGGTATGGATTCTTATTCCTAGAAATTGCGACTCGACTAACTCATTCGCCAGGCGATTGCTCTCGAGTACCTGCGTCATGGCGCAAAGGTAGCAGTTAACCATTTCGGACGCCCAGATGAAAAGCCGCTGCTGGAGGCCATGCGGAAAGATGTTGCTGAGATTACAGGAAGTGAGGGGGGCCGATTCATCACAGTACCTGGAGACGTCTCACAGCCCGAGACGGGCCGGGACTTTGTCGCGAAGACAGTCGAGGCTTTCGGACGGCTAGATGTTTTCGTGAGCAATGCGGGAGTGTGCAAATTTGAGGACTTCCTGGAGTAAGTCAAGCCGCGTTACAGAAATTCAAGCCGCTGTACAGCTACTTACTGTCCGGCCTTGCAGGGTTGACCCTCCACTTGTCGGGCACACGGTGAACACGAATCTCTGCGGAGCCTTCTACGCAACTCAAGCGGCAGCACGGCAGATGGCCCTAGCCCAATCGCCACCTGGTGGCTCGATTATTGGGATCAGCTCCATCTCCGCGCTTGTCGGAGGCGGACAGCAGACACACTATACCCCTACCAAAGCTGGAGTGCTCAGTCTGATGCAATCGACTGCTGTAGCGCTAGGGAAGTACGGAATCCGATGCAACGCCTTACTCCCTGGAACTATCCGGACCCAGTTGAACGATAAGGACATGAGTGATCCAGTGAAGAGGACGTACATGGAGGGGAGGATTCCATTGGGACGGTTGGGTCAGCCTCCTGATCTGGCTGGCCCAGCTGTGTTCCTGGCCTGTGATGAGTTGAGTGGCTATGTGGTGAGTGCTGATCTATTTTTGTGGCTGTGGCTTTGAGGGAATGGCTACTAACAAATGCACAGACTGGCGCACAGCTGCTTGTGGATGGAGGATTGTTCGTGAACCTGCAGTGATCATACTGAAGTTTCTCTGTGACGATGGTCATGCTGACGAGCGTGTTCTACATGACTATGATGATAAGGGCGTACATATGTATATAATAATTGCCACAGATTGCATATTCACATCTTGATACCGTACGCTTTGGCTGCAACCTCTCCCCAGAACCCCTTCTTCTGTTCGTCAGTCAACCCTCGTCTCTCAAGGACATTCTCTACAACACTCTTCCAGCGATTCCAGGAGACATCATTGCCTCCTCCACCTATATTGCAAACAGGCCAGTCCGATCCAAACATGATCCGCTCTGGGCCGAATACCTCGAAAACAACGTCCGTCCATGGCTGTAGTCTATTAACTAGGAACGCGATGTCTGGATCAGGTGTCGAGCCAAGCGGAGGTAATTCTGAGAAGCCACCGGAGAGCTTCATGTAAGTTGTAGGATATTGAGCCATGGCGCTGACCAGAGCCTTCCATTCGAGAAATTCGGGGTGAGAAGTTATAGACTCACGAGTCGAATAAGGCAGCCGAAGATTCGGTTTACAGAGATGGTCTTGCATGGTGCCTCGGTCAGTTCATCTTGCATGTCAATCAGTTATCGGCTTGAACGCAACATACTAATCACCAGTGTCACTGCAGCGCCTCCATCATCCACATCCTCGTAAATTCTCTTCATCATCTCGACCGCTTCTTTCAGTTGCCAAAGACCGCCTTGCCGCGCGTCTACCCCAAGGTCAAAGGTCAGCCTTCTGCTACCGAGATACTTGAGTCCGTCAAGGAACCCCTGACTGAGCATGACACCCGACGGTTTATCTTGAACGAGGTACCGCACTCCGCATACTTTCCTCCAAACCTCCTCCGTCTGCGTCCTCTCCTTGACTAAGAAAAGATACTTTTCGAGTGCGGCGGGGCCCCCCGGTACGGGAGCCCAGGGAACAATCCCTAAGCATAGATGTCTATCGACATCCCTATGTCCCTCACCCGAGATTGGTTTTCCCAAAGCAACGCGAGTCAGCAGAGACACTTCATCCAGAGCGTGCGACCAGCCAGCACCTGATTCTTCAACCGATGAGATGCGGTCTGTC